TCTATGTGTTTTACATACCGAAGAAAGACGGAGGTGGATCATGGCAAAGGGGGTGACCACATATACATATATATATATATATGTATGTATGTATATATATATATATATCATGTACATAACATATACATATATAGATATATATATATATATATGTGTGTGTGTGTGTGTATGTATGCATGTATGCATGTATGTGTGTGTAATCTGTATAAATAAACAAATAAATAAATAAATACATAAATACATAAATAAATAAATATATATATATATATACATATATATATATATAGGCATATAGCTATATATGCATATTTATATCTATATATATATATACATAATATACATATACATAATGTACAAAAAGCGTCGCACCGCAGCCCCTAGTTTTTCAGCTTCCTTCTGTAAGACTTTGTTCGACTACAGGTCTTGGACACCGTGAATGTACAGTTGTAAGCCCTTCATAAATGAACACATATCTGTTAATCTCATACTACTCATCATGTGATGAATGAAAGATCTATGATATTGCTAACACTCGATGGCCTGTAATTACACACATTTAACAGAAACACAAAACCAGAGTTCTGCCATACTGTATCGCTGACATGCTATACCACAGCAGTATTGATGCTGCATGCCTTTCCGGTGTTACTCGATTCTAAGTATAGCAAGCGTCTGCTGGCAATATGTTGGCCATATGCCACCCCTTCCAGTTTAGACACTTATAAGTTGCTGACGTGGTGGTACCACTTGCTTGTTGATCTAGTATAAGCAACCTGGGTTGAACTTATGCATTATAGACTGACCGTTCGCAACCTTTTCCAATGCCACTCGAAAGGCTGCTCTATCATTACTCACCCATTGCTGCTGCATCACATGCTCCTGGCATCCAGCTGCTCCATGCTGACGTGCATTGTAAGCTTGGGCTGGTATCTTGCTTTAGCTAAAAGGTCTCCGCTGCAAAGGCTCTCCGTATCCCAAACGATGGCCAGCACGCACCTGAGTCTTTGTGAGCTCATCCTCCTGGAAGGAAGCGGAAGCTGCAGTTCATCATGCTCAAGATGGAGGCAGAATTTGGGAGAGTGTTTGTTGTTGTGTATTGTTTTTCCAATCTGCCACCCGGCTACTCTGCTTGCCTCTCCTTCAGCGGGGGTGGGGCAAGCTTGGGCCCTCCCCGAAGCCGTGGAAGCCAAGAAAACTGCTACCCTTCCTGAAGGAAGTCTATGCCTGGAACCCGCTTCAAAGGGAAAAGGCTGAAGACTCTAGGAAAAGACTGTGGCAACACCTGCATGTTAAGCCTTCGACATGGTACTTCTCTTGCAAACTAGCCACCACAAGGTCACCAAAGTCCTCACATGTGTTGAGTGCATGCGTCGAAACTCCAATGCATCCCAACGTGGCAAATGTCAGGTTCAAGATATCAACCAAGCGTCACCTTGAAAACAGTCCAAGCACATGATGCTTAAGAAACCCTCTCCATGCAGTCGCACCTCGGGAGATGTGGACATTGCTTTCACTAAGCTTCCGCTAGCTTTCACCAAAGTTCGCTGCTGTGCTTTTTTGCTGCTGTAGACGTCTGCACGACAAGTCTGCTTTCGCTACGTCAGTACGGCTCGTCACTGCTAGGATGCAGCTCGAGCCAACAGAACAAACCAGGTAATCTCAACTTGCGCAGCCCACGTCGGGGCGCTTGATTCGCGGTCGACAGATGCAAATCATGCAGGTTTGCCAAGGCACCCGAACACGCAGTCAGTTCTGCTTGCGGTCTCTCGTCCAGACAAGTGATCCATCTCTACACATCTCTCCACAGACTTCTCCAACTCCTCCAACTCCTCCTGCGCAAACGCATCGTGAGTTTTCGACGACCAAGAGAAACAAGCTGAAGGAACAAATCACTCTGTGAACCGCGCGTAAGGCTTGCCAGCAGTCTCCCGCGCGTGCTTCTGGTGCCGGTGGTGCTGCCTTCAGTGCAAAATAGGCTTACATGCCGCAGCCCGGAACGCAGCAACAATGATCGAGATCTCCAGAAACACAGATGGAGGCGCAGGCAGGTCTGATTTATGGAACTTTGAATGCACTTTCGTACAACACATGTCTGACCATCATAACTCGTGATCACTTGTACGCTCATTTGGGGGGTGGAAGAGCGAACCCATACAAGGGCTGCTGCATTCGAGCCTCTGCGTCAGTAGAAAGCAACCCAAAGTCCGAATTCCATGTGGGAAGATGTTGCCCAAGTGGTATCTGAATCCAGCCACCCAGAAAAAGAGCATCGGACAAAAACTAGCTTCAACCCTCAAACATTTCACGAGTCAACGGTAAAGAGACACAAGCGCTACAGTTGCTGCAATGGGCACACTTCCGAAGCGCAAAGGCTGCTAAAATCAACCTGAAGTTGCGGGCAACGACAGAGGAGTCGTGTCTGAACCTAAAGCAGTCCCGAGTCAGGTCCGTCCATCAATCCGAAGAGGGAATTTAGAAACACCGCTCCACTGCGACCGCGTTGAAAGAGGTACCGAATTTTCAAAAACACGGAACTGTTCTCGTCGTGCCCATCAGTCTCATCCTCGCAAAAGATCCGACATACCAAGTCATTAAAACCCCAGGATTTCCGCAGCCTGCTCCAGAACTGCTGCCCGGTCTCCGTGACCTGGGCTGCGAGATGCTCGGGCTCTTTTGGTGTGGTGTTGTAGTGGCGCTGCGCAGAGCTTTGCTTCAGGTGCGACTGTGTGAAGGGAAGCTTGCGTAGAGGGCGGACATGTGGCCTGGTTGCATGTATTCTCGTGACGGACAATGAACTTGGACATAAGCTCTGGTTTTTCAACTATCCGGTAGTAAAGAAGTGCTACACCACCATGGAGCATGTAGCTACGAGCCTTACGGGCTGCTTGCATCCTTTGGGGCAAACCGAAGCGCAAAATGAGTTCAGACCCGACACCTGCTTCCCTGTTCCATCTGCTTCCCAGCACCAGTCTTGTTCATGTTTCACCACGCGTGGACGACTCACAAATGGAATCACCCAGTCAGTACGCAAAGCCTCCGCGTGACGTGTAGTGTTGACTTTCAGCTGCAATCCTTGTCAGTCTCCCGATGACCCGGAGCGTCAGAGGGTTAGGGTTGGTCTCCCGAAGAGCTTTCGAACACCTGTGCTGGCAGCTCCCTATTCGAACAAGAGATTCGAGCCCGAGGACAACTGGCGAGTCGCGCCCCTACTCCATACGGACGCTCAATTCAAAAGGCGGTTTTTCCACGTACGACACAGTGGCCCAGGGCTCTCGACGCGTGACAGCCTCGTCGTTGAGAGTGGCAGTGCATGATGATGCTCGGGCGTTAACGACTTCTTGAGAAGTGCAGAGAGGGTACCGACATGTCGTGACCTCTCAGGCCTCCAGGCACCGGGCATGAAATCGATTCTTCTTGTCGAGATGGAGGATGGAGTTCGAGCCCTCGTTGAACAAACCAGAACCGGGCACTCTAGTCAAGGCCTTGGAAGCCTTGGAGCTTCTTTGCAGCAGCTTCAGCCTTGCCATTAGTGCCTCGAAACAGCAGCACCCACAAGGTCACGAAACCAGCATCAGAACCTGTGCACCGCTTTGCCTTCGGGGTGGATAGCGGATGCCCGTCGGCTTGCAATCTAGCCTTCACGCTTCTCTGCGACAGCGGGTATTCCATCAGTCTAGCATCAGTCTAGCAAAGGTGCGCGATGCCACCTCGAGCTGCTGCGGTGTCATTGGCCCATAAGAAGAAAGAGCCTGGACAAATCGGCATCTGCAGAGAATGCGAAGAACCGCTTCTCTACGGCACCTGAATTATGTTGTGAAAGACGCGCTTCTTTGGCCTGAAGCCGCGTGCCCCAAAAGAAGACAGAAGAAGCATGCTCAAATCTACTAGTAAAAAACGAAGACCCTTGCACTGCCAACACCCGAGAGCGGTGCGCGCGCAAGTATGACATCGAGAAGCGGTCCACGTGGCCTGAGTGCTGTCATTGAGCCAGAGCTGGCTGCTCTGGCTCGAGCTCATGTAAGCTTATGTGGGTGGTTGTCAAATTGATGGTCCCTTTTGGGGTCGTTATTATAATACGGCACCTATTATTTAGGGTACCCCAAAAGGGACCATAATTTTGACAACTATCCATGTAACAGAACGTCCTTTCAAGGCTGCAAAACAAGCCATCAACTCGCTTGAAGAAATCCAAGTGGCACTGGCTGCAGATCGCACTGAGTGGGATGTTCTCATGACCTCAGCGGCTTCACGACGCCTTTCTGATGTTGGGCCCAGCAAGATACAAAGATCCGGAGACCTGTCTTTAGATAACAAGACATCTGAACCGCTGGAAGGGGCAGCCCGATACTCCATGCAACACGAAAAGTTGATAAATCGCGGGCGCTTGAACAAGCCATCCACGGGTTTGATCTTGAGCCCTCGGTCCATCAACCCTCAGCCTCCGGCCACACTTGTTGCACGTCCACGGCCCAAGGTCTTTCTTTGCCATTGCCTTAGGCCGTCAGGTTGCAAGTTCGTGGCTGAGTCCGCCATAGCTGGGCACCCTGCTGTCTCCTCCTGGCCGGCATGCCAGCGTCCACAGGACATCGGACACTACGTGCTTATGAACAAGGGGTTGCAGATCGAGGTCTGTAGCCTAGCAGGAGTGTCCTGCGACCAGAAGAGAAAGCGCTCATGGACAACCTTCAATGATAAGTCCTGTCACTGCAGGGGCGCTGCAGAGATCGAGCCAGCTTTGACCTAACACTCCCTTCCGCTTGTGTCTGCCCGCCCCATACGCACACCCTCGGACCCACCTCAAAAGTCAGGACGTAGAAGCCAGGGCTCTCCTCCTGCGAAACGGCGGATGCTGTCCAGTGTGACATGCCTCCACCAAGACGTGTTTCTGGTCCTGGATCTTGTTTAGCCATTCCTGCACTGCCGACGTCGCCAGTGCAGGCTAGAACAGCTAGGGCTCTCTGCGCTCTCTTTGCTCTCTTTGCTCGCTTTGCTCCTTGCTGGGCTCCAGGCCCGGCAAGCTCCGCAGGGCGGCAAGGGGTTCTGCAGCTCCGGACCGGCCACACCGTCGACCTGTGGAGCACCACCGTATCAGATCGTGACTGGGCCAGTGCGAGTCCTTTTGAGACTGCGACGGTGACCGGGACCGGGACCTCGAGGACGGCAATCCCTCGACGGGTGGGAAACACGGCCCGGGCCAAGGACACACTGCGACGGAAAAAGCTTAGGTCCAGGTGTCCCCGCCCTTCATCTGCTTGCGCCCAATGCAGGGATAGTGGGTTCGTGCCTCAAAAACCATCTCATGGCAACCCTTCCGAGAGAACGGCACCTTGTAACTGTGATCGCGACGTTCGTAATCGCTGCGCGCTCAGCGCATATCGAACCAGTAGGCAAGGAGACTTCGCCTTCCGAGTATGTGTCTGCTGGTCTTTGCTTCTTTACACCTGCCACAAGTTACCACGACGATTAAGCACGGCCCGGGTCACTGTTGATGCCACGTGCAAAACAAGCTTGGCCTGCCAGCACAGGAGAAGCACCACACAGGAACGCTGATTGCGGGGACCTAGCCCGCAAGCCGAAAGGACAGCCTCAAAATCAGCGCCGCCTCCGTTCTCGACATGAAGAACGGCTAGAACAACTTGATCGGACCTGGCTTCGGAATGCGGATCCGGTGGCCAGACATGCTTAGCGGCCCTGTTGCCTGGTGGGGAAGCGTTTTCGCCTTACAACAAGGATAAAGTGTCCTTGCCTTCTTCTGTGGTTAAGCTTTTGCTGCGGCGAGCAAGGCACGAAGGGGGGTCAAGCGAAACAACCTCAAGCAAAAACACCAGTTCAGGCACTTCAGAGGTATCCAGTAGCATTCGCAAGTCCTACGAAAAGACCACGCTCGGACAACCAGACCCCGCGAGGAACAGGGCATCTCAGCTTTGTGCATCTCAGCTTCGTGGATGTACAGTCTTGAAAAAAGGTGTTTGGATAGGACATTCGAAAAGGGCCGGCAAGAGCACCCAAGCGGCCCAAGCCTACTCCTGAAACGGAGTAGGATCGTAGGATCGGAAACCTTACTGGTTTTCTTAGTTTCTGGAGGTGGTTTCCCTGAGGGCCTGGTTTAACCAATGTTGCCTCCACAGCCAAGCATATCCAAGCATGACGACTCGCGACTGATCTGCTTGTCCCTGGCAGCTCAACATCAAATTCAGGCTGGCCGACTTCCGGTGAAAGAAAGGGTCCATGCCGTTCTTCTCATACCTCTGCAACTGCTTGCGCCCGCTTCCAAGATCCTCCCTGTGCATGACACGCTCGCTGACACGGTGCATTTTTTGGCATGCGCTGGAAACCGTGGCAGCGCGGACCTATCAAGCTTGTCCCTAAAAGGGATACTACAGCACTATGGGGGCTACTTGTAGGATACCATAAAGGCACTCTAAGGTACTGCAAGGGTATCATATGGGCTGGGCCATTCATCTGCCTCTCATCAGGCAGTGTTTTTCCAGGCCTGGCGGCCTCAAACATCCTCAGCACACGACGGCAAACTGAATTCTCCTGCTTTACACACTAGCAGTTTGTGGCCGAGCGTTGTCAAACACTGAATTGCAACCCCTCCACTCAGGAATGCTGAGCATCTGAATAAACATTTGCAGTGGCACCATTTCTCGTTCGCCCAAATTCGTTAAAGTCGAGAGTCTTTCTGAAGCAGCACGGTCCTTTCCGCTGCATCCTCGTCCTCCATTGCCTCACGCTCCTGGTAGCGCTCGGGTTGGGGTGTGTGTGATCATGATCACAGCCTCACGGCTTCAGATTCGACTTCATCTGCTGCGAAATGGACACCATACTTAAGAGCAGGCGCTCGGCGCTGGGGCCTCTCTTGCAACTGGATTCAATAAATAGGCTTCACGATGGTCACAAGCCTGCAAAAACTGAACCGCAGTTTGCCAGGTTCGAGACTCCTCGAGGGACTCCTTGTCCGCTGGATATGTCCAGAAGAGGAGGGCAAAGTTCACGGCGCCTCAGCTGTGGATGAAAACAGCCCAAACAATGCGAAGCAGACTGATGCAGCTGCTCTCATCTAACCCTGACTGAACCAACTGTGGACAAAGCGATTTTGGCCAGTGACTTCGATGCAGTGAATAGGGAAAGCCGGGGCACTGATCAAGGAGGGGACCACACAACTGAAGAAGATGGCACGTCCAAGAGCCGATGCATTGTGCTCTCGCACCTCCAGGCTCATGTTCTCCTTGGGCGTCTCCACATGACGGCGTCCAACTGACTCATGCACCAGTTCTCCTCCACCTGTCATGCAGCTAGGTGGCCACCTTCTCACTTGTATAGTGATAGTCGAAGATGTCCTGCTGTCAGTGCAGTCACGAAGGCCGCCCTAGCCAAGCATAACCGGGAAGGTTGCACCTGGGCTATGAACCCAACCAGTAATGGCCCGATCGTGTTGCCACTTGCAAAGACCTTGCCAGCTTCACTATCTTCACTCTTCGGGCGCTTCGGGAAGGGGCAACGGCTGAGCTCAAGGGAACGAATTTCCTGAGTTCCAGACGATCGCAACGTCCCACGAGAAAGCCGATGACAAACTCAAATGCAAGAAAGAGCTGACTTCCAGGTGCCGGCAGCATCACTCGAAATCTTGCGTCCAAGGCGCTCCCTTCTGGGGATGATATCCATGACCTGGAGCTTGCCATGTTCAGAACCATTGGAATGTGAAAAACACCCTAGTGACCGCAAAAGCATTGAATCCGGCCAAGGTTCCACAGGTTGCAGGCATCCAGGAACCTCCCACGTGGTCACCAAGCCCATCGTAAACAAGATGCCGGCGAAGAGCAAACCTAGGGCAGGGCATGAAACGACAACCTCCTCCCCGGCCTCCCAACGAACTCAAACAGCTTTCAGAACTTTCAACTGCCCGCTGCATGTCTCCGTATTTCGGCCAGCTACTAAGGCTGGCTTCTCTTGGGATCCCCATGTACACAACATAGAGGAACGGGATGCTTGCCTTAGCACCAAAAGGACAGGTTGCCAAAGCGAGTGCTGGCGCAGGAGCCACGTGCTCTTTTGCGCCCTCTCGCCTGAAAATCTGCGCCCAGGCACAGTAACCGAGAACATGGCCACCCAAGTTCTGCCGTAGTGGTGATTTTTGGCATTTGCTGCGTCGCCCAGATAGCCTGACATCTTCGGGCACCCGAATCCTTCCCTGCCTGGCCCCTCACTAACTGAAGATCGCTACAAAAAGAGGGATCTCTCGAGGCAGTCCCCTGCCTCCTAAAGCGCCACCAATACCCTCACCGACCGTGCGCATGGCGATAATCAGTCCACACCTCAACCAAGAATTCCAGAGCGGACAGAAGAAGGCGAACCAGCATTTCTCCGGGTGACATGTGGTTGCTGATAGAGAGGTACTGAAAGTACCTGACATTCCAGACAGGAGCCCTGGCAGATCAGGCTCGATCGATATGCGGAGAAGGGTGCATGGTTGTGAAGGTCTGTGCCGCTCCAGGGATTGTGCCGAAGACTCCCTGGAGAATAATAACCTTCAGCGATGCTGCAGTGCATCGCTCCCAGTCTAGGACGGACACTTCCTGGGTTCCGGACTCGGAAAGACCCCAAACGGAGGAACTTTGCCAGCTTGTGAAACTCACCTGTTCCAAACGCTCTCTGACGAAAAAAGCGTGACATGATACCAGCCCCTCGAGGCGTTTCCATCTCACTGCCCAGCTTGCTTTTTTCGCTTCCCTGTGCTCTCTCCGTCTCTCTGCAGCAAAGCTGCGAGAAAGGCCGAACCTCTTTGGATCCCATGTCCTGGTGCCGCACCCAACAGCACAAGTCCCGACCCCGTCGGCCAGTTGCTCTTTCTAGTGATGGCCTCGGCAAATCCTCCACGGCCGCTTCGACCAAAAGAACGACCAGCAAGCCTGCTTTCAACTGTCGGCGATTTCCACTATGCTCGCTCGGCACACAGCCACTGGCGACACTTGCGCAAGACATATGTAGGCTGCATAGTTTCAGTTTGTTTCCGTTTCTGGGGTGGGAGCAAAACATGCGACCAAGACTCTGAGTATACCAACCACTGCCAGACATATCCTCCAACCCATGACACCGAAGATTCGATGCTCAGATATGGGCACCTGGGCGGCGAGGATTCGGTGCTTCCCAAGTTCGGCGCAGATATCGGAATCGCCGTCACAAATGAGACACGGGCTACGATCAAACATGCCAGCACTTGGCCAAAGTTGGCAGCACAGTATACCTGATCGGTCTCAATGCAAGCCACCAGCATCCATATCTTCAAAGATGTGTCGACCTGCCTTGCCACAGATCTGCCCAGCATCGTCCGACGTGCTCAAATCCTGTGCTTCCGGCGCTACCAGGCCACAACTGCCTACGAGTCACGAGACCTCACTGCGCACGGCTCGGCTATGCTCGTGCTCCAAGGCTCCGAGATGAAGGACTGCAGAACCGGCAAAAGCATGGACAGTGCGGCGCCATTCAGAACTCGCAGTGCGAGCATTGGCCACAGCTGCGTTGTGAACCTCATCTTCGATGCTTGAAGTATCAGAGAAAAGAAACAAGAAGCCTACAGGCCCCCAGTTGCTACAAGCCAAGTCCTCAAACGCCAAACGTTGGCCAAGTTTCGCTAGCTGAAAGGTGCAGAGTCCCCACAAGCCGGTACCGACCTCAATAGGACGAGGGCTTGTGCGGGCTTGTGAGCGGCTTGCAGCGCACAGACGAGTCTTCCCAAGCGAGAGACCTTCAGAAGCAGTTTTCTCGAGGCTCCACTGTCCACCAGGTTGCCCCAGATCGGCCCAGTGACCGCACAGGCCACGCCCTGTCAGATCAGAGGTCAGGTCCCTACGTCCTTTTGCAGTTGCTATGTTTTTTGCCTAGCAAATGTTGGTGGCTTGGTCACTGAACCCAGCATGATGCACGCTCTCACAGAAGTCTCACCGACTTCTTCGCAGTGAAACCAACCGACTGCGAGGAACACGGGGCCTTGTAATGCTGATGCCCTGACACCTGCGCTTCTTCTTGAATCTGCTCCGTCGCTATGCAGGAGCCAGGCGGCTTGCTTGGGATGGATGGTGCACAGATCGCCGCAGCAGAAACAACAACGCGGAGCAACAGAGTGCATGAAAGTCTTAGCCCCGATGAGCTCGATGCTTGCCAGACCTGATTTGGTCTTTATAAAGCTGTACCGCAACATAGCACAAAGCTTCGCATCTGCATTTCGACTCACACACTCGCACGAAGNNGAGCTTGCTACATGTACATACCTGCTGGTCGTCATCTGCATTTGGGGATGTGGAACCCAGGACTAGGTCAAGAAATGAAAGCCCAGTTGGCTTGCGGGCCTGGGCCAGTGCCATCAACCCCAACAGATTCGGCCGCATGTGAAGCTCATGCTCCATGGCTCGAAACCTCGGCGAGGTGCGATGCTGCAGCAAGATCGCGATGCTGACATGCTAGGCCGCGATTGCCGGAGTCTGCTATATGTACGCGGAATACTGCGTCTAGGGTCTAGAAAGAAAAATGCCATCCTAAAGTCATTGCAAACAGGATCGCGGCTACGCAATCGCCATTAGCAGCAAATCTCCACCCAAACCCAAACCACCCAAACCTCGCTACACTAAGTATCCCTGGAGATGCTTGCCCAGTCGCGACGACGGCAGCAGCTGCACATCTGCCCCCTTCCATGCATGGGGCTTCACATGCAACGGATGCCTATAAGCTTTGGAGCGAGCCTTCAGCGCAGAAAGTAGGATGAGCGCGGCCAGCGTCTGATCGCTGGAAAAAAGCCTCGTGCGAGCCCTACGGTGTGATTTGATGCCACATAATTACCCATCCCTGTGAATTTGTATGTCTTCGCAAGTTTGGGCAGCAAATCACAACCAGACATTCCATATGTAGACGCTGGATTACGCCAGCACCAACCGAGACACAAGTGGCATCACAACATATCACAACCAGCCATTCCCAATGTAGACGCTCGATTCCACAAGCGCCCGCGCGAGACGCACATCGCTGGCATGACAGCACATCTGAACCAGCCATTCTCCATCTAGACGCTCGATTCCACAAGCCACTCGAGACGCACATCATCAGTGGCAGCCCAGCCATTCCGCATCTGACACTCGATTCCACTTGGAACCATCGGATCGTGTACAAATAGAAGTGATTCTTTGAAAGCCGTTTCCCGAGTGTAGACGCTCATCGATGCGTATTTCAACCCAGCGATGCGAGATAAAGCGACTCCTCGTACCACTACTACTTTTTAACTGCTTTTTAAGCCGATCACGAATCCCCAATTAGACGCTGACCGCAACACCTTAGCCAAAATTCGTCCCCATCTAATGTAGATGCTGGAAAACTACGAAACGCATCGCCTTTCACACCCCAGAGTAGCAAACGAACACCGCAGATCATCATCTTGAAAGGCTTTCCCCCATGGGCACACCGAAACGCAACGACCTCACAAAAAAGCTTGCGCCGAGTGTCTGCCGCTGCCACAAACAAAACGCGACGACTTACGCAACTGTAGCTCGCCTCCACCACAGACGAACCCTGCAAAGCATATCTTTCACCGGCCCAATGCTAGCCAGAAAGAAGATCCCTCAAAGGGCTCGGTTTCCCAGGCGCAGCACAAACCAACGAGGGCTAGGAGGAGCTTGGGTCTGATTGAGGCCCAACAGAGACTGGACCACAGCACTCAGAAGCCCCGACAGAGAGCCGGTAGACGCACCAGGCCTCTTGACATGGTCACCTGTACCCAAAAGCTGTCGAATATCGCTGTGGCACACAACATGCTTCCACATGCCGAGTTCAGCAAACATGGGGGAAACATCCACAGAGTATCACCGGTCACCTTATGGACTCCGTCCCGACCAGAAACCTCTTGGGCCATAGTTACTAAGTTACTAAGATGCGATCGAAACTGACACTGGAACGAAACTCAACCTTTTCCAACCAAACCCAAACGACCGTTAGGCTTAGTGGGATGCAGGCCGGTGGGGGATTTTCTGTCGAGGTGCCGAGCCCTCCGCGGAAGCTCATCCTGCTGCATTCCTGGGCCTGGGATTGCAGCTTTCATGAGTTAGTGTCGAAGGCCGCGGTCTCCAAACACCTCCTAAACACTACGGCTTAGGGATCCTGCAATGCGTGAAGCTCCGGACTCGAAGTTTCAGTTGTCCCTCAAGTGCATCCCACGCGGAAGCCAACAAGAAGCCGAGAGGCTAGCAGCTTCAACATGAGCTGCGCCCAGCACGGAGATACTTGAGCCAAGTCCAATTATGCGGAGCATCGGGTCAACATCACAATTTGACAAGATTTCACAGTCCTGACAATGTGCAGGGACACCACGTCACGTAGTTCTGCATCTCGGCGGTGAGCTTGTAAACGTCCTCATTCTTCTGTAAGGCCTCGGCAATGTGTGTGTGTGTGCGTTAGTTAGGTTGCGTTGATGAGTAGGGACCCTTCATTCTCACTTCAAGAAAGAACGAACCAGATGCACTGTTGACCGGCTGTGGCGCTTCACAGCACCTGAAGCCTGAACCGAGACGCGCGGGTCTCTTTCAAACATCAGCCCAATGAGATCCTCTCAGGTGCCCGACATCTGGAGCCTAATTAAAGCCATCAACCGGGATGGATAGGAAAGCTCAACTTTTGCCGTAGCCAGCTGCTAATGGAATGTGACCAATTGTCAATCGTTTGAATCAAATCGCATTGCCCTCAATACCCCTCTTGTGCCACTCATGACTTTCGATGCCGTCTTTCCCTCCTTCCCACCGCTACTCCCTCCAAATTCTGGCTAGCTCATCATCTGCTTGCCTTGCCCCTCAGGCGTTTCATCCTCAGGTTCAACATTCAGCACGTGAGGTAGGGATCTCAACTGTGTCTCGAACCCCGAGGCCCCACACAACGTAGTTCCGTAATTCCGGGCGACCATACTCTGCTACTGCTGCGAATAGACCCTCCATGCCTCCCTCCCTCTCCCTTCTTCTGCATGCTTTGGGGATTGAGGTGAAGATAGCAGCACCGGCTGAGATTGGCGCCGAGGCATGGCGGACCTCGCATGAACCCTAACCCTCTAAGCTGGCCCTCTACGTCACAGCCACAGCCCTCATCCCTGCTACGTTCCACTACAGTCCGGTGCATTTCCGCCTCCCGAAACTCTACGCTACTGGGCATATGTTGGGTGCGACGGCTCCTCCTCCCGACACCGTGATCCCGCTGCTTTGCCGCGTGTGTTCTGGTTCTGGGCCCAAATCTCGCTCCCGGCACGGTTCTTGCCAAGCAGACATGTAGCCTGACTACTGACTTGCGTCACGGCGAGCCACACACGAGCGTTCATAGCGGCAGAACCGCAGTTCGAGAAAACTATCAGCGACCTCATTCGAGCATTTTCGAAGCCAAAATTAAAGCGAGACTGTGGCTGCGCAATGCATCAGATGCGAGAGCGCCGAAGCTTTGCCGAGTGCCGAGAACCCTGCAAGAACGCGATCTTTGTCAACACTGCGCACCGCACCCCTGCTGGAGCAGCCAAACGCCGAGTGCGCCTACCGCACGCACCTGATGGGCACAGTAAACGATTACTCCGACAGTAAGAACCCCGAAGTGCTGCCGCACTGACTGTGACATAAAAGCCAGAATGACGATCATCACTGGTACGCTGTAAACTCGACAGGGTAGGTGCGTGGCCCGTGTGAACTCCTTCCTCACAAGCCACTTCTCATCGTCCCCCGAGTGCGGTGGGGTTTTCCTTAGGCTGCATCTTTGCATGCGAGTTTCTGAACTCACTCACACACTGGTTGACACTTTTGTCTTGTGCGCACCCGTTGCCCTACCGTACTTCCCGTCGCCCTGGCATGGCTCATCATCAAACAGTATCCTTTGGAAGATATATTTTTCGAGCCAGATTAAGCTTCAACCGGATGCTTGCCTCGAATTTTACCTGCACTCCTCTGCCGCCCCTTCTTTGGGATGTGTCGCCGGAAAGAGCTCGATCATGCTCTGCCCGCAGCATTCAGGTTCCTTTCCGAACATCCAACCTGTCCTGGACTGGTTTTTCCTCGGCTTTTCACTTGAGTTCCTCTTGCTTTTGCCCTGACTCTGGTGCGCAAAATCCTGAAGCTGCTGAATTAACAGCTTCCTCATGTTTTTGACATGCAGTACTGTATTCTTGCGGGCACGTACCATAGCTTTCAAAACTTTTCCCGACACGCTGGAGCCGCGTCTTGTTGACATGCCCCATGCTGTGTTGGGTCCAGTTGCAGGGGTACGGGCTTCCCATGGCTCCCCAATGCTACTGGGTGCACCCTTCTGCTTTCCAGCATGGCAGCCGAAGAGTTTTGCTTTTCGTCGCGTTTGCTTCCTTTCATTTTGCTTCACCACCAAAGTTTGGTGGGCTCTATCTCTTCCTGCGCTTGCCATCGAGCTTTGCTGATGCTCGTCTTGGTCTTGATGAGAGAGTGCTGGCTGTCCTTTTTTAAAGGCTCCCTCGGAGAGCATTGGTCTTTTCAACAAGTCTTTTTCCGGATCCTCGCAGGGTGGGTTCGCACTGGTACTCGGGATCCAACGCCTCGACGGTTCCAGCATGTACATGTACCGTCCAGGCGCCCTTCTTCTTGTGAGAAGTATCCTGGATTCCGAAGTATGGGATGCAACGGCTGATCGCCTGGAGGACTGGACGTCAACATCCAAATGACAACCTTCCCATTCCTTCTTCTGGCTTTTCTTGCACTACTCACAAGCCATGAAGGAAGGGGCCCTTTGTCTGCTGCAGCTGAGTTCAAAGTCCCTGCGGCCCAAGGCTCGGACCCTGGTTTCCGTGGCCACTGCAACTTCCGACTGGTAGATTTGACACGCAGACCGCTCCGCGTGAGTCTCCACAAGTCCTGGCAGAGATCACCAGCCCAAGGGCACATGTCACATGTCTCTGCTCTTTCACTGAATTCAGAAGCAGCCGCCGCCGCCTTCTTCAGCCACATGGTTTTGCCGGTGCTAATCAATCTTTTGGGCCCAATACCGTTCCGGGACGGAGCTGGAGTGGAGCTGGTGAATATACACACATGCAGCGACATGTACAGCAAGCCGGCCTCCGAAATACCTTTACAGGTGACGGGTCAGTAAAGAGCACTTGCAGCCACTTGCACTTCTGCAAGCAGCCGTGGACATGCGGCGCGCCAGCGCATCACGCAAGAAGACAAACCAGCACCAGCTGCATGCTCTTGGCATCGCAGCGGGTAAGCCTAATATGACCTAATCCAACTTCAAAGTGAAACAGTCTCGAAAACTGAGATATTCCGATGGAGCTTGCACAGTCTATTCTAGCTCACCTCATTCTCCTCGGTGGCCGAGAAAGAATCCTTTAGGATGTGGGCAGGACTACAACTCGGGGCCGGGCTGGCAGCCT